AAAGATATTTCATTTTTTCGTTTTCCTAAAGACGAAAAGGCAAGTTAATTCATATATTATTTATAATAACTTTTCTTTCATAAAATGTTAATAAAATTATTATTGTAGTATTTTAAAACATTCTTTTATTGTTTAATTTTTAGATGTAAACAGTGGGTCATCAACTGTCGTAGGAAAGATTTAGACAAAAAAGATTTTGTATTTTTAAACAAAAACTTTTATTTGTGCAGTAATCATTTTGAAAATACAATGTATTATTCTACAAATAATGGTGGAAAACGTTTGTTACAATCAGCAATTCCTACTATTTTTAACATCCCAAATCCTCCTCCACTTCTTGGTTGCAAAAGGAAACCACCAGTTGAACGTCATTCAGTTCCAGCGAAAAAGCAAGTTGTTTGTTTACCTGTTAATTCAGATATTAATTTAGAGAACAAAATGTCTACTAATAATATAAATTTCAACAAACTTCAAAGGTTACTATTAACATTGCGAGTCAAAGTTTCTAGACTTCGTAAACAAGTTCGACATTTAAAATCCAAACAAAAAACCCAAAAGAACTGTGATGGGTCTATAAAACATATTTTAAATTTATCCAGGAAATACTTATCACCTATACAAGTTAGTTTTTTTAAAAGTCAATCAGAAATGAGTAAACGAGTCAATAAAGGAAAACGCTGGGCAGTTTGTGACAAAGTTTTGGCTTTGCGAATTCTGTTTCATAGTCCTCAAACTTTTAATGTCTTTCGAACAATATTCTGTTTACCAAGTCAAACCTGTTTATTATTATTTTTGTCCCGTGTATTTTCAGATCTTCAAGAAGGATTTTCTACTCGATTGTTTTCTTTATTAAAGTTACGTGCTGATGCAATGAATCCGCTCGATCGTAATGTCAGTCTTGTTATGGATGAAATGTCATTAAAACAGCATTTAGAGTATGATAGAAATTCTGACAGGGTTTACGGTATGAAAAATGGAAAACTTTTAAATCAGGCTCTTGTAATTATGGTAAGAGGCTTGGCAAATTAATGGAAACAACCAATAGCTTATTTTTATAATAATTCAACAATAGCAACAGCTGACTTGACTTCTTCTACGTGAAACTTCTTTACTACGTGAAACCATTTCTAAGGTTCAAGAAACTGGTTTACACATTAGATGTGTAGTTTGTGATCAAGGATCTACTAATATAGCTGCCTTACGTTTGCTTGGGTTTTCCAATAATTTACCATACTTTCCTAATCCTTCCAATAATAAAAATATTCATGTTATTTTTGATCCTCCGCATTTAGTAAAAAGTATCAGAAACAATTTGCGAAGACATAACATTGACATTAATAGTGAAATAGTTTCTTGGCAACACATCCAGTCTCTTTACAGTTTAGACAAAATAAACTCTGTGCGTCTAGCGCCAAAACTAACAGATAGACACTTAGACCCTGGTCTTCTTTTATCTATGAAGGTCAAACTTGCCACTCAAGTTTTTAGTTATCAGGTTGCTTCTGCATTATATTGCTGCTCTAATACAAATTCACTTCCTTTAAGTGTATTACCAACAGCAAGATTTGTTGAACGCATGGATACTTTATTCGATATATTGAATTCATATAAATTATATGCAGATAAACCAGCTCGATGTGCTCTAACTTTAAAAGGAGCCAGTATTTCTCAGTTGGAAGAATTAAAGCATTGAATTGAGAAATGGAAATTTTGTTATGTTAGAAGTCAAGCAAGTATATCATGTCATTGGGGTTTAAGTGTCACAATTAATAGTGTTCTAACCTTAAGTAGAGAGCTATTTTCTGAAGGTTTTCAATTTGTTTGTACTTCTCGTTTTAATCAGGACTGCATTGAAAATTTTTTTTCAATTATTTGAAGCAAAGGTGGTTGGAATGACCGTCCAAATGTAAGACAATTTCGAGCTGCTTATAGAAATGCTTTATTACTTTTATCTGTAGAAAAAAGTAAATCCAATAGCAACTGTATAAAGAATTCAAATTTTGAGACAGCTTTCAATCTAAATGATTTTATGAAGTGTTGTAATCAAGCAACCACTAATTGTGGAATTTATGAAACAGAAAATAACATACCTAAAGGAATATCTTATTTTCATCCAGGGTCATTTTATATGTTTACTGGAAAAATTTTAATGCAACCAAAGGATCAAGCCCTTTTACACATGGCTGGATGGCTTATTCAAAAGGTTAAATTATGTCATAGGTGTGCAGATGTACTATTTCTTAGTTCAGCTGACAATCCATCAGCTTTTATGTCACTAGTTTGTGAAATGGAAACAACTTTTTCAAAATTAATTGATAAATATCTTGAAAGAGATGGACTGGCCATGATTCTCATAAATAAAATTAAAAAAAAAATCATTTTCAGTTTTTGCACAATCAACATGAAGAACATGCGCTTTATTTGATAAAAAACATTGTTCTGTTTTTTGTTATTACAAGAATTTTTTATTTCATAAAATTTTTAAACAGAGACATAAACCCACGCAATAAGTCAAATGCAAAAAAAATTGCACGTATTCTTCATAATTAACATATTATGATACTATTTTTTCAATTTTTTTTTTTTAATAAGATGCACTAATAACTTTAAAAAAAATTATGTTGTTTATTACAAGAATTTTTTATTTCATAAAACCCACCCAAAAAGTCCAAAAAAATAATATTGCTTCCAAATTGCAATTTCAAAAATTCACTTATTGCCCTTTGGCATATTATTATATTATTTTTTGAATTTAATCTTTGTAATGAGACTTTTTTATGTTATAATGTATATAAATAACTTTTGTTAATGTATAATAATAATAACTTTTATGTATAATAATATACTTTTATGTTATAAAAAAATTACACTAACTTTATGTTCTACAAAACTCTTTTTGTTCTACAAAACTTTTTTTTCCCCATTTTTATTCTTATTGAAACATTTTAATGGTAATCTTAACAAAATTGATGTATCTTAATGTTACAAACTTGAGATATCTTGAATACAAAATTGAGATATTTACAAATATCACATAAAACAAAGATGCAAAGTTTATTTAAAAAAAATAAATATTTGTGTTAGTTGCGGAAGAAGTCCGGCAGGACATCCCAGAATGCAATTTCGATCAATTAACAGGAGTTTCGCGAAGTGGATAGGCTTTGGTCAGGTCTAGGGGTTGCAGTTTATGGCTGCAGTGCAGTGGGAAAGTTATTAAAACAATGCCTGATTCTATACAAAAATCGAGAACTGGTACTGAAATATGGCTCTCGTGGTTGTCCAGCAGCAATAGAACTGTTGATGAAGGCGTTGGTTTTGCGTATTTTTCAAAATGGTGTATATATTTTAAAAGGTTTGGTGCTGTCATCCACCATAAAGAATGTGCTGCTCCATCTGAACCAACAGGTGCATCATTTAACATATATGTTTTGAAAATAACTCGTGGGAATATGAATAAGGGTGGTATTGAGTTACCCAATGCATTAATGCCGCAGCAAACAGTTACAAGTGTCCCTCTTTCAGCTGACGTTACTTGCCCAACTTGCTTAGTGCCTCTGAGAGCAATCACTTTCTGGGTTTGTTGAACTGCTGATAATCCAGTTTCGCCTATATTTTAAATAGACTCAGGGCCAAAACGATGTCGTTCATATACAGTTTTAAGATTTTCAAAAAAATCTCCAACATTTTTCTTATTGAAACTTGTGGCACGTGAGAGACTAGTAGCTTCTGGGGTCCTTATCGAAAGCTGAGGTTGTCTTTTAAAAAATCCCCTTAGCCAATCTTTCGATGCAAGTTTCTTCTCTGTCCAGTTGTCTGGTATTTTTTTAATTAATGGCAGTGGCATATTTGTATACTAATTCGCGTGCTTTCAGTTTTGACATTCCATGGTTAAGTTTAAACAATGTTAAAAATATTCTGAAATTTTTTCTTCTTCATCTTTTGTGAATATTTGGGATGATATATATTTACAAGAAGTATCTTTCACAGCGCCACCCTGTTTTATGTATCTTTCAAGGTTAGACCTGGGTATATTATATTTAATCGCAGTAGTTTTAATTTTTCCTCCTTTAGAAACCTCTTCCAATGCACGCAAAATAACATCTTTAGGGATTTCACGTCGTTTATTTGTCTTTTTAAATAAAAACGGCATTGTCCTGAAAAGAAATGATTAAACATTCAATCCAATGGTGATAGCAAAAAAATACAAACATATGACAAAAAAACACAATATAAAAAGAGGGAGCATTGGGCATGCCCAAACCTCCCTCCTACCTGCATGCCCAATGCTCCCCATAACCTCACTTTTCAAACAGATTTGAATAAGTTTATTTTTATCAAATGTTGAATCCTAATTGTCAGGTAAATATAACGTTCATTAAACACAAAAGAAGAAGTTAACACAGATACTTACAATTTCTTGCATATTTCTTTGTTATCTTTCTTCAAATCATAAACAAAATATTTACTTTTGAACGCAACAAACTGTTAAGCGCATGTAACTTGACAACCAAGTGAACAGCTGACACTTTTAATGAGGGGTGTTGTCAATTATAAAACTATAATGCTACGGTAGAAAACAAAAAGTATCTAGAAGAGATTGTGAGAAATGAGGGGGTGCCCAAACCTCCCAACTGCCCAATGCTCCCCTACCTCCCCTAATAGAATGTGCCAAAAAATGGTTTCATTACTCATGTGTAAATGTTACAAGGAAACCCAAAGGCTCCTGGTTCTGTCCTCAATGTAGGGATTAATTACAGTATTTTTTATTAACAATACCTTTTAGTGATAACAAATGATTATGTTATAGTAATTTATTATATTTTTACAAGATATGGTAATATAACAAACTAGACAAATTCAATGTTATTTATTACATTATCAAACAGTATGCACTATTTGATTATTGATTACCCATAAATTATATTTATATGTTATAGTATATTTTTTATAAATATTCTTGAGTAAAACTTAAATATAGAAAACAGCAAGGTATGGTTTAATTGTTTTTTAATATGATTTATAATATTAACAATTATTATAGCGTTACTTGATAATACTTTTCTTTAAATTAAAAAGGGCTGATATCACGACCATTACATCATCTAAAAGATCTATTTGTTTAATTGGAACAGTGGTTTGTAAAATTCTAAATTGTTTTACTCTGCCAATAATGCGTTCAACATGTATTCTTACATTTGACAGTTGTCTTGAAGTTCCAACTTCTTGCGGACTTAACTGTTATTTTCCTTTTAAAAATGCTGGAATGTAAAGGTTTGCTCCTTTCTCTGCAAGCTTATCTTTAATTAGGAATCCCCTATCTGCTAAAATGCAATCTCCAAAATTTATATATTTGAGAAAGCTCAATTGATTTGTTAGCTCTTTGTCTGAAACTCTGCCTCCCCAACCACCAGACAAGAAAGTAATTGCACCTGTTGGACTGATTCCTATTAAATATTTAATTGTATTGTTGTGTTTGTAATTTGACCATGATTGAGCTCGAGTTGTTAGATTTGATGGTCTCTCAATAAAAATCTCATAGCAGTCAATTATACACACACAGTCTCTAAATTTCTTTTTAAAACACTCTGGCAGGTTACTTCTTATTACACATTTATTAGGCCATTTTATTAACGGTTGTAAGCAAGTTGCTAGGTTTGGCAGCCAATTTCTCAAAACTCTGGATATTACACTTTGACAGACACTAAAACGAAAAGCAATATCTTTATTTAGGAGCCCAAGTCGCAACTTCATAAGTATTATTAACAAATGGTTTTCTTTTGATAAACGAGATAAACAAAGTTTTACATCATCTGTCCTTGTCAATAAAGAAAGAATCCATAGAAATGTTGCTATATTTGGTAGCCCTGTAAAAAAATTTAAATGAGCATTGTTTTCTTTAAAGTTTTCAATACTGAAAGATGAATCCCTTTTTTTAAGTTTTTCATTTTCTTGTCGCAAAAGATAAATTTCCATGTTTCTATCGCGTAATTCCATGTCTAATCTTTGATTTTCTTCTTTCAATAATTCTTCTATGCTCAAATCACATTGGATACCTACACTTTTAAACGATACAGATTGTTCTTCAGTATTATTTTCAGAAAACTCTTCATTTTCAAAAAAATACAGAGCACTCTTCATTTTCAGCATTTTCTATTTGTTCAGTAACAATATTATTTCCAAAAAATGATTCTTGTTTCTTTTCTCCTAATCGGTATCTTTGATATCGCTCTAATTGTCTATGATATAAACTGTTGGATTTGTACATAAAAACCGAAGGAACATAATCTGGATGACTAGGTTCATCAGACCGTTTACCTATAAATAATATAAAATGAAGATGATTTTGTTACAATAAATAGATTCAAGAAATAATAATTACATACAATTAAATAAAGAGGAACTAGTAATCACTCTTACTACTGTTATTTGTATAATTAAAATTGTATTAATACTGTGTGCAGTATTTTTATCACTGTACTCATATTTTATAGATTTAAATGTAAATTATGTTGATTAAAAAGCAAACAAATCAGAACTAAAAAAAGACCTGAAACAAAGTGTTTGCTGCATACACGAGCATTTTTTATCATTTTATCAGGCCAGTTTTTGCGATGAAGAGCATTCAACCAAAGCTGTCGTCTTTTAACTTCATTTGGTGAATGACCACTTGGAATGCAGTAAAAACTGAACAAACTTTCATTACTTCTTCTATTTACACATCCTACTACACAGCAACTATCAGGCATTTCTTTTTCTATAACTTTTTTTAGTTATTTGAATAAATGTGAAAAATACTTATTCTTTTTCTTCTTCTTCTTCTTCTTATTATTATTATTATTATAATATATACATATATATATATATATATATATATATATATATATATATATATATATATATATATATATATATATATATATACAAATATATATACAAATATATGTACAAATATATATATATATATATATTAAATATATACAAATATATATACAAATATATATATATATATATATATATATATATATATATATATATATATATATATATATATATATATATATATATATATATATATATATATATATATATATATATATATATATATATATATATATATATATATATATATATATATATACTTCACAGTTATAAAAAAAAGTTGCAAAATACCTTGATTATCTTCTCTACTTTTCTTTATGTGTGAAGCATTTTTGTACTTTTTAATTATTTATTCTACTAGCTGATATCAATATAAACTGATACATATTAGCTGAATAAATAACCATTTTTATGATAGATTTTCAACCTCTTGTATCGTAGACATGCCAATAATGCGCTAGAATAGTTTTTTTATAGACACAAAATAGTCACAAACGTATTTAAAACTGTAATTTTATGTAAAATTACAGTTTAAGATACGTTTACGTATCTTAAACTGTAATTTTACATAAAATTACAGTTTAAGATACGTAAACGTATCTTAATACAGGGTAGGTACAATCGGCAGAGCAGAGCAGATTGGCAGAGCAGATCATTGAAATGTTAATAACGGCAGAGCAGATTATTCAATCAGCCGTTTCCTTATGTGTGATCTGCCAAATAATTCGGCAGATCATATAATAGAATTTTTATAATGTGATTGCCAAATATTTTTATGAAAAAAGATGCACTTCGAATAGAAAGAACTATGAGTTGACTTTTCAAACATAAACGTTTTTTGTTGTTGCAATACTTTTCCAAAAAAAAAGTGATCTGCCGTATTCTAATGTGTGATCTGCCAAATATTTCGGCAGATCATAATGCAACCGGCAGAGCAGATTGGCAGAGCAGATCATTGTAATAATAATAACGGCAGAGCAGATTATCACAGACAGACAATCATCCGTTTTCTATTTTGTGATCTGCAAGATTATATTTTAATAATGCGTGATCTGCCAAATAATACTTGAATAATGTGTGATCTGTCAAATAATATTTGGCAGATCACACATTAGAAAACGGCTGATTGGATAATCTGCGCTGCCGCTATCAACATTACAATGATCTGCTCTGCCAATCTGCTCTGCTCTGCCGATTGTACCTACCCCTTAATACATATATATAAACGTAAACGTATCTTAATACATAATTTATTAATTAATATATAATACATAAACGTATCTTAATACATAATTTATGTAAGATACGTAAACGTATCTTACATAAATTATGTAAAACTAGCAGTAAGCAACCCGGTTAGTAGTAAATACATCATTACTTACAGATTGATATTTATTTACTTTCTCTAATAAAATATAAATTTATTTATACAGAAAGCAACCCGTAACACGGGTTAGTAGTAAATAAATCATTACTAACAATTTGATCTTCATTTACTTTCTCTAATGAAATATAAATTTATTTATACATTTTTTTAGTTGAGCTCACTTTTATTATTCTTGGCTTCTTAGTTTAAGAGAACTCTTAGCTTCATTAAAGATAAAGTTAACCATTTCTTTTGCAATGTTCAGACATTGAATGCGCAAATCACAACCTTGTAGTAGTTAAAAATGACTTGAATTATATGCACAGAACATCGATGTCAAATTTTCAAATTCCGTAAAATTGTTTAGGTAAATATTGAGAATATATTCTACTCTTAATTTTGCTTTAAGCAGAGTCATTTCTTTTTTTTTTTAACTTTTCATTTTACTGAGTGAAGAGCTTAAAAATATGTCACTATCGCACCTAAACCTTTTAAATGTTATTAATATATTTTTTAAATATTTTTAAAACATCTAAAATATTACACCCAAACTTGTAGGCATAGAAGTTGGATATCCGGAAAAACTATAAGTTGAAAAATATATCGCAATTCCGAAAAGGGCTTACCCTGCATACGGATCCTATATTATTATGATAAAGATTATTATTAAACCAACCTTTTTTTTAATTAATAATCCAGCAGAAACTTGTTTATAAAAAAACAAAGGAATATATGGATTTACTATAATAGCTAACGTGTATCAACATATTTATTTCAGCATACATCCAATCCATATTTATACTAATTTTATAAAATACATTTTCCCTTAACTTGGCGTTAGATTATTAGTTTTATTTCATTAATTTTTGTATAAATCAGGTTAATAATAAAAGCAATTGGATTTTACTCAATATTTTTGAAGTAATTATTCAGCTTTAATAAAATTGATAAAATCATATAAGACAGTTAAAAAATATATTTAAACCTTTGTTCACTTTTTGAAAATCCGTAAAAAAGCAAGTATCAAGTTTACATATCTTTAAAAGAAATTTATTTACATGATATATAGTTAAATATGTAACAAAAATATTTTAAAACAGAAGCATATATAAAACACATTTTTCTTAAAAAAACAAAGTTGAAGCCACCATTTACAGCACCGAGGAGCCAAGCATAGCCTATTAAAAAGAAAACCATATCAAATAATTTAAAATATTTATCACCGATAGGGACGACAATTAAACATATTTAAAAAGCTACGTGATTCCATATTAGTAGGATTGTTATAGAAAAGTATATTAAAAAAGTATATTTAAAAAAAAGAGTATTTAATAGAAAACAGATTTTTAAAAACTAATTATCACGACGCCTATAGCGCGGATAACCATTGTGAACAGCTACTGTGTTGGCATTAAAATCTTTAGGATAATTTTTGCGGCACACCCCATCTTTCATGCAGGGAGAATTTGGATTCAGTATCCCACATGGGCCGTGAATCATGCAAGTTTTGATAATATCATAAAGTTAATAATTATAGTTTGCAATTGAAACATTAAATCACGTAAACAAAGATCATTACCACAGTGTTGCATTCTAAAATTTAGTGCAGCAAGTGGATCATAAATATATAGTTGAGAATATATTGGTGGAATATCTTGATCTGGCCTAAGATAACCTACACGATGAAAAATCTGGCCACATATTTTAAAACATGGAAGCCCATGATTCATTAACTAAAAAAATCTTACTCAAAAAATTAAAAAAAAAAAATTCTCAAAACAAATATATAAAGAATCCAAACTAATGCAAAACAAAATTAATTTGCCATCATCAAAAGTAATATAGGTTTCTTAAGTTTATTTGATAAAAGTTAAGAAAAACCTGCAACCATATTAGCAAAAACTTAATACAAAATGTTAAAATTTATTCTGTTTCTAATAAAGAAAAAAAAATTTAGAAACAAACAACATATCTTCGCAGACTGCGTCATAAAGCATGCGTTGGTAGAAAACATTGAACAAAACATGTAATAAAACTTATTAACGCGTTATGTACAATAGAAAACGGGTTATTAACGCAGGTTTAAAATTTTTTTTCCCCCAACACACTATTACGCTGCCGCAACTCCAAGGATATACATAGTTATATATATATATATATATATATATATATATATATATATATATATATATATATATATATATATATATATATATATATATATATATATATATATATATAACTATGTATATCCTATATATATATATATATATATATATATATATATATATATATATATATATATATATATATATATATATATATATATATATATATATAACTATGTATATATATTATATATATATATATATATATATATATATATATATATATATATATATATATATATATATGTAACATAGTTGCATATATATATATATATATATATATATATATATATATATATATATATATATATAAATATATATATATATATATATATATATATATATATATATATATATATATATATATATATATATATATATATATATATATATATATATATATATATATATATATATATATATATATATATATATATATAGAACTATTTATTAGCGAAAACATATGAAAACCAAAATTTTTTATATAACATATATAGTATATTTGATAAATAAACCTCTACAATTTTTTTGGTTCAACAACTTGATTATGATTAATAACAACTCTGTAAATATAAATTTTCTAATGATCTAAATCTTTATAAATTAGATATTTTATTTTATATCTTAATTTTAAATTAAATCTTTATAAATTAGATATAAATAGAAAAACAAACATATAATAACACAATTATATCCTAAACCAAAATTCAATCATGCAAGGCAAATTATTAAACTTTTTGAAAAGAAAACTTTTTTCAAAGAGCCAAAGTCTAATCTAAGAATTATAGTAATCTATATTTTCAAAATTTAGATGTATAACACGAAGCTTTAAATTTAAAAATACAATTTAAAAAAGATTACAATAAACTGTTTACTTATAAAATTTTAAAAAGATTTTATAAATACTCAATGTCTACTTAGACATTTTGAAATGATTACGATTTTGAAAACTTGAAACTTTAAATTTTAAAAAAATGAAACTTTAATTCTACCTCAAAGAAAACAGATATATATTGAAAAGTATTTTTATTTCTTTTTAAAAATTTAAAAATGCTTTAAAACTTACTCCCTCCAATATAATTATATAATATATATAGCATATATGATAAATAAACCTCCACAATTTCCTTGGTTTAACAACTCGATTATGATTAATAACAGCTCTGTTATTATGAATTTTCTAATAACCTAAATAAATTACAGATAGACAAACATAAATAACACAATTAAATCCTAAACCAAAATTCATTCATGCAAGACAAATTATTTTATATTTATTGAAGAGCCAGAAACATATTTTTTTCAAAGAGCAAAAGTATTAACAATATTAAAGATAAATTTTATTTATATCAAAATTTTCAATAAAAATTAAAT